CTCGTCTCGCGCTCCGTCATCGAGGCAGTGTGCCGGTTTCCCCACGTGGATACGCCCACAGCATAGAGAAATCTCGTAGACGACCTTAGTGACGCAGTTTGGATTGGAGGCTTCCTTGTACGGGTGCACGCTTTCACACTGTCAACATGTTGACGTTCTACCTACCAGCTAGCTTTTTAACATTTGTATTCAAGTAGAAAATGACTCATACTGAGTGTGTATTTAGAACGCAGATTGTATTATAGGGCTCGGTTTCGTCTGGAAAGTGACAAAAGATTTTGACATGTTTGAGGATGCACTTGCTAATTATTATTCTCATTGGGAGCCTATGCAACCACCTACAATTGCTTGCGATCCTAAATCCCCTCCCCACTGAAGTATATTTTTTTGTCGTTTTGCAGGAGAGGGGGGAGGGGACGATTCATGATTTTGTAAATACGGTATATGTCAAGCTCTACTTTGCAATGCATTAGTTGGAGGTTAGCACCAGTCCCTCTTGTATGTGTGCCCTTTCTGCCTTGTTAGTGCTGTTTAGTTTTCTGTTTATTGAAGAGTGAACCAACTATAGTCCGTTACAACTCGAAGAAGGTAGGGCGAGGGAAAGGAAGGCCGGGGACGAGGAAGCAGATGGAACACTGGAGAGGAGAGGGGGAACCTCCTTTTTTTTCCAGCGTTTTGTCTGCTTCCTCCTCTCCTGCCTTCCTTTTCGTCGCTGTAACTTACTATAGTTCCAGCCAGATTTTTAATCAATAAGGAAGTTATTTTTTTCTTTGCACCGCCGGCCCAAGGTCACAATTTCTGCCCCATCAGCTTTTGCCCTGTCCAACTCACTCGCCGTTCCGTTCTCCGCAAACATATGCGCGCCGCTTCGCCGTTAAATTCTTGTTAGCTGGTGGTAGGGACGGAGAAAGTTGGAGGCGGATACTCTTTTCTGCCGCACTGGTGGTGCTGCTCTACACTGTCTTTTTCCCTCCCTTTTTCTCTCTCTCTCTCTCTTTCCCGCCTGCCGTTTGTTCCCAGCGTGGTTCATGACGTAAGTGGGCTCCCACCCGGAGTGCCCCAACACCGCCTCATCTCGGCAATTCCCGCTTGCGTCGGCCCCTCCCACTGGCCCTTCTCCCCTTCTTCCTCTTCCGCCGATTTCGTCGAGGGCGCCCGTGGGAGGGCGCCGAGCCCTCTTCGGTTCTCTTCCTTCTTCGCCGCGAGCTGCCCGCACCGTCTGTGTCTCGCGGAAACTGCCCCTCTCACCCCCCTTCCCCCCGTTTGGGCTTTCTCCTTGGTTTCTCTCTTCTCCGGGGCAGGGAGCGCCCTTTCAGTTTCCCTCGAAGGTCGCCGGACTGAACGTTCATTAGTTTGTGGGGGACGTGCCTCTCTTCGGTTCGGTCGAGTCCCTCGTCGCAATCTTTGTTTCTGCCCCCCGCGCTCTCCCGCGTGGACAGACGGGAACCGGGGCTGCGTCTCGTTCCCCGAGGTCCGCCGGCGGCCGTAGACGGTCCCGGCATTCTGAAAAAAGTGGCTCCGGGAGTTTGGTTGGCACTGCTTTGCCACGTGTGTGTGTGAGCTGCAAACGGCTCCGGTGCGATTGCATTCCCGGTTGTGGGACCCTCGGTGTTTGTGTGTCGGTGTGCTTGTGTGGCTCCCACCCCAAACCGCCACGTGCACTGTCGGCGTGTTCGGGGACACGCATTTTCCTGTCCGCTCATGTTTCGCTGCAACCGGGTTGCTTTTTTTTTTTTTTTGTCGCTTTTGCTCGGAGTGTTGCTTCAAAAGCCCCGAGGAACTGGTGCCCCAAACAAGTGGGCGACTGTGTCCTTTGTTTTGTGTAGTATTATTTATTTGTCTCGCATTTTCTTCCATCTGCAGTAAGTTGTGGGCGATCTGAACCAGCTGCGATTTCTTTCTAGTGCAGAATAGCTTTATATCTAGAACTCGTTATATACCACACGCGGTATTATTTTCTGGAGGGGCTGCGCAAAATGACGAGAAAAAGTGCAAAATAAACAATATTTTATTCGTCTAATTTTCACGACTGGTCAGGTTCTTTTATAGCGAGAAGTTTCAATGCCACTAGAAGACAAATTTTGCTCTTTGGCTGTTGCATCAATATTTGCAACAAGCTGCACCGAGAGGGAGCCAAGTGCCCGATCCGGGGGAATGGAAGAAAAAGACTCAGCGAAGGCACAGAGCTTAGTCATGGCTAGGCCAGAGTGGGCAGTTGGAGGATCGCTAACGGTTCTTGCAATCCCCTTCACCGCCGATAGAATGGCTGGTTGAAATGTTCTCGCACGTATGCGGTCTCTCTGCCATGGTGACTCTTTGCTTGTGTGACTAACCTGTTCCTGTAGAGTTGTATTTTGGTGCAGTTGTTTTTTCCCAGCCGTCAGGAATGTGCTTTCTTCTATGTAGTGAGTACTTACCAGTGAATGACTAGATTCTCGCTGTTTTGGGGCAGAATCGCTTTGTTGCATTCCCGATTTGGCCCTGGCAGTAGCACTGAGAGTTTGGGCAGTGCGAGCGTCTCATTCGTTTAGGGGTGAGCCTAGTAACGAGAGGAGACAAAATTTAGGCTTATTGTCGGTGTTGCTTGTGCTGACCAGGTAGTATGTGGCATCTATACAGGGTGTACCCATTTAGTGAGCTTCTTTTTACAAGTACCGTAAACTCCCAAGCAAGCATCCACTAAACATTTGGAGGTAATAATGTAAACTAGGGGAATGGGTGCTTTTTAGGTCACAACACGTAAAGACGTCATTAGTGTATTTTTTTGAACGTTCCAAAACTGAGGGGTGGGCACATGTTGTAGAATGGGTGGATGCTCGGTATTTTACAAAAGCAATATGTGTGCCATTTCATGTGGCCCTTGCCCTAGGCAGCTTTTAGGTGAAGTAAACTGTTTTTAACATTACTTCATTGCATGCCCATAAGGTGTGCGCAGTGGATCTTGCACCGCAAAAAGGAGTCGGAAAAATTGGCTTCTGTACAGAGCTCCAACTTCCACCGAATGTGCATTGAGGTGGTCAGTTCGACCTCCTAAAATTACAAGGTGTGGATCTCTTTTTGTAAAAAATAAGATCAACAGATTTGCCAAAGTCGACGGCAGACACATTTGCAGGCGATTGGGTACGGCAAACTGTTGTCTGCTAGCTGCACCCACCAGGAGATGGCACCACAAGCTACATTATTTGCTATTTCGGCCGTCTGCGAACACGCCCGCCATTGACTTTTGCAAGTCTCTTGGTCTTGTTTTCTTCCAGGAAGAGTATTACACCTTGAAATTTCACGAGATAAAATTGACCACCTCAATGCACATTCGGTGAAAGTTTAAGCTCTCTATGCGCTGTTGCCTATTTTTCTGGCTTGTCTTGCAATGCAATATCCACTATATGTGCCTGAGCTTTTTGTTGAAGGACTGAATGGCTTAGCAGAAAGAACATCTTTCTGTATGCAGCTTGAACATGCCAGAACCAGCACTTTGTGCGATTTGCTTGCTGGAGCGGGACACGTGACATGCTTTTCTGCCTCTGTGCCTGACCCTTTTTTCGTGGGGAAGTGAAGCAAGGTGTACAACAAGGGTCACCTACTAGACGCATTAGTTAGATTTGACACTTCTGGGTCTGGTAGACAGCTCCGGTAGTGCCAGCCATTTTATTTATGGTCTCTTCTTTATATTCATGGCATTATATTTGTGTCCAACATTTTAAATTTTACAATTCATCATCCACGATATGTGGGTTTGTTTTCTACTTTTTTTTTCTTGGTATTTTTCTGGTAATGTTTTACTCTGCTCTTAAAGTCCCTCAACTATATGAATTCAAGACCTAATTTTAGCGCACAACAATATGAAAATCGAGGCTAATCTATAACCTTATTGGTGAGTGGCAAAAATACTACCGAATGGATTCCTGTTTATGGCTGTGCTCCTTTCACATGTTTTTCTAATTACATGTTTGGTGGTACACCCTGTATATATGGCCTGTTCTTTCTGTATTCTTTTCCATTATCTGATGGGTACATGCCCAATACCCCTATTTAGGTTCTGTAGCGTTAAATGGAATGAAGTGACTCTTTGTTACTTTTCAGTGTTACTTTCCTCGTTTCTCCTTTTTTAGTATGTCTCGTTTGGTTAATCTTCTTCCTTATTCCGTATCCGACTAGGCCAGCATTTCACCCTCGTAGAATGTCCACTTGCCGATTACTATATGAGGCCGTCTTGCAACAAAGTTATTTTTGCATTTTCTCTCGAACATAAAAAAAGCAGACAATTTGGTTAAAGCTGTCTGGAGTGCCTAAAGATGTAATTCGAAAGTCAAGGAAAGAACACAGTAGTGGCTTTTTAGCTTTATCTTTATTTCAGGCATTCACCGGAACTTGAATCCGCGCGTTCAAATTTAAGCCCGCTCTCTCGTGATGTGTGCCTCTAGCGATTCCTTGAGACTTTCGACCACAATTTTGCCAATATATAAGTGGCTACAAGAGAATAGGACACGTCTAGAAATTAATTTCTTCTTTTTTCTCATATTCATAGCCTTGCTTATAATGAGCAAGCAGAGTTTTTTCGTCGTATGTTTGCCAGAAATGAAACCGGCATTGCTCGTGTATTGAGGCGTACACCAGTCAAAAACTTTGATACGCGAAGCTTAAATTTTTGCTTTCGTGAAAGTAAGAAATGAATGTGAACAGCCACATCTTTTAAACAGTAAAGACATCTATTTTTTACATCTATAAACTTTTTTTTTGTCATTTTGTTTGTTTCGCTACTGCTTTTACTTCCGCAGCCCGTCGGGTCGTAGGAATGGTCTGCACTATTTGGAAAGAAACGTAAGGCGGCCTCATACTTTAAAAAAAAGTGGAAAAAAGGGGCGGCAGTAGCTGGCATCGGCGACCGCCGAGCAATCGGTCTTGGGCAGGCCGATCATCACTGGGAGGGGGCCAGTGCCCGGTTGCAGCGTGTTAATCTGTGTCCCGTGCTCCCCCGGTTCCTTTGCCGCCCTCACCACCAGCCTGGGCTGCCAGTGGTTAGAAGCGCACGTGGGAGAGGATTTCTGTGGGCGGCCCGCCCGGCATGTACCACCTGCCCCTGGACGCCGCACCCGCAAGGGGCCTCGCCGTCTCCGCCGGGGAATTCCGGGCTGCCCAAGGGGACCGTTGCGGCCGTCTGCAAGTGGAGCGCCGTACAGAAGCCTCTGGAGTCCTGCACTGTTCGCTCGAGACGCTCGCAAACTGTGGTCTGTCGGTCCGAAGTCACAACCGCGGTTCACCCTCGTCCCGACGGTGCAGATGACCCCGCGAGCCTGGGGTCCCTGCCTTGGATGCGCCGCCGCCACGCGGTAGAGGCGGGGAGCTGGGGCCTCCGGTGTTGCCGCATCGTCTGGCGGAGGGTGGACCTAAAGTAATCGGAGTAACCGGCTAGGGTGGGCGGCTGAGGCAATGTCCGAGGCGCCTTTCCGTCTCGCGACTAACTCGTGCGTTTGGTTTCTGTGTCGTCCGCACCTTCGCTCACCCCGGAAGAACAACTGCTGTGATTGGCGAGTTGGACGTATTTCTCTCTCGTCTCTGTGTGGCCCTAAATAAAAAACAAACTAGGAGGAAAACTTGCTTTCCAAAGGAGGAGACGGTTCTGTTACTTCCCTCTTTTGCCGTGCCGAATCATTTCCACGAGGTTTCTTCAGTGTTACATAAATCTGCGCGCTTTGTGGGCATAAATGGATGGGATTCACAGTCTGCCGAAGCGGCGGCCACGTATTATGGGAACACAACGTAATCTGTACCAGCCTGTCCAGCGTGTCCGACCCTGTAGGAGGGCAGTGTATATTCTATCTAGACTGTTTCAAGTTGTGTCTGGTATGTGTGTGAGTGTGTGTGTGCATGTGTGCACGCGCGTGTATGTACATTTGTACAGTTCTTTTTTTCTCTTTAGTTCGTCGACCTTCTTCGGTTCTTCGCTTTCCGGGGACTCGGGCAGTGTTTGATTTCTGGAAGCAGCTTGCACGATTCCCGCAATGTGTTTGGTTCTTCTTGCGGAATGCTTCCTCAGTCGGGGTTGCGGGGGATTTTCCTGCCGGGATGCCGATAAGCTTGTCAACCGAGAAGAGATAGCGGCCATGCGTGGGAGGGGCCTCGGGTTACGACCCTTGGACGCTGGAACCACGATAGCGCTGCCTAGGATGCCCCTAGGGTGCCGATCTGTGTGCGTGGTCATACAAATGCAATTCTAGTTGTATTGTGTCTGAACTTTTTTATTTTTATTTTTTCATGGCAAACATATCTAATAGTTGCGCTGAGAGTTTTGAAGAATTAATTTGGAGAGTATGTGGGTTGCCGAGATTTCTTTTTATTTGATGTTTGTTCTACCGCAGTTTCTGTCACAACCAAGTCCAACTAGCACCTGTGCTTTGGATCAAGAACTTGTAGCTTGGATTGTTTGAACTGGGCCTAATAAAATTGGCAATTAGGTTTTTTTCTTTAACTTTTGGTGGAAGTTTTCCTACTAAACTTTTCATGCCCCGCAGATATTGGGTTCGGAACTATCGGACACATGATGTCACGACGGGCTAGTTTTTAGTAGGGGTGTTGAAATTTTTAATGAGGTTTGTGGTTCGACTGGTTTGGTGAACCTACAACCTTTTTGCAGAGTTTGACGAAGTTTGACTCATTAACAGTGTTGCCCAGCTTCTGCACAGATTTTGAATTTTGGATAATTTAGAAAGTGTGTTTTATTTATTACAAATTGATTACCATTGTTTATACGGTATAAAATAAAAAAGAATTGCTTTTAATTCTTTTGTTAGTAATGCAAATCAGTGAAACAATACATCCAACAAATATTACACTTTTTCTCCTCCCGGTGGTATCAGCTCGTTTTAACATTTTTGCGTATGTCCACGAAAGTTTAATTTTAGTTGAACCTTTTTCAATCTTCGCATCAGAAGTTTGAGAAAATCGAACTTGGTCAAACTCGAACCACGTTGGGTTCATGACCTCCCTAGTTTTCAGTTTTCTTGAATGGTTACGGTTGCCGGGTTTTGTTAACGTTAGTGTCGGCTCGTGATGCTTTCGAACTGCATATTCTAGGAATGGCAGACTTGTGACCATTGTACTGAATTGTCCGATGACTGTATATAATGTAGAGGAAGGTTAGATTCAGCACGAGCGTCGCTTCTCCGTCGGAAGGGTTACTGTAGAATTTGTGAATAGGGTGGTGAACACATTTTTGCTTTGTTCTTTATGCACTGACCTTGTCACATTGAATGTGAGAAACATCGGCTTTCGGTATGGGGAAGCGTCTTTCTGCGTACAACAGTGTAACCAAAATCCTTAAATGCACCGTGTAGCGTGCACAATTTGTGTATATGTGCGCGTGTGGCTGAGCAAATTCTGCATGTGGAAGCTCCCCACTGGTATTCTGCATGCAAAGGGACGTCATTCGAGAAGGAGGTTGACATGGGCATAACTGCTTTAAAAGACACGGTTGAGTCTTGTGCTATATTAGTGCTTTTCCGACAGTAGAGGGGCGAAGGTTTGAGGCTAGGACCGTTTCGTCTGTGCCCGGCACGCAACAAGAATGGGACGTTCCCGCGCGAGGGAGTCGTCCTAGCGTACTAGTGGTGCACGCTATGCCACGCCACACCACGGCGCAGTGGATTCACTCGGAAGCCGTGTGTTTAGGTGATTGCGAATGGAGAGTGTGGAAAGCAAGTGTCGTTTCCCCGCGGTACTCGCCGGTGTCTGTCTCGCGCTCTCGCCACTCGTCACTCTCGAGTGTCCTTCCACAAGAAACCACTACTACCACTGTATAGCTGCCTATACTACAAATCCATGTAAATGTGCGTATAAATATAGCATATACATGGCGTGCTCGCACGTGTGTATGTAAGCATAAGTGTGTTCCTGTCGGTGGTTCAGAGGACTACTCCTGGGCCTGGGTTCCTTTGTTCATTCTGTCGCTGCTTTGTTCCGAGGAGAGAGTCTGAAGCAAGGTGTTACGACAATGTTGATTATTTAAAATATATTACGAGGATAGTCTTGAGAAACAGTAATAAAAGCACTAGCCTTTGAATCTTTGCTGCTGTTTGCCTCATTTTGTCAACTGCACGTGCACCGGATATCGCCTAACAATCCCTCACTCTGCGGAGAGTTGAAGGCTGGTTGCACTCGCAGCCACCCCTTAGGATTTGGCCAATTTGTCAAAGGCCATCTTGTTACATGAGCACACTCTACGGGCATTAAACATTTTCATTAAACACAATTCCACCGATTAAGTGGACATTTCGTTGAACTCGGATTCATTAAATGCCATTTCATTGAATTTAATTTCACCGAATTTCGGAGCATTCTAGTGCCTTTTGGTTGTTTTGCTCATGCTTCAGAGTTATTTCCCTGCTTCTGTCAAATTGCCAGAAATGCCAAAAATTGAATTGCTACTCTGGTCACGTTTTCACCAAACATTTGCAAAAGTAAGTATGCAACCTAGTTTTCACGTAAGATAACTGACTAATCCACCACAAACTACATCCGGCGTCGAAGGAGTGATTTCCACACAGCCGTCTCTCCTCCGGCGCGATACGTCACTTTCGGCGTCGGAGGAGTGATTTACACTAGTGTCGCGAACCGGCCGAGGTTCGAGTTCGACCAGGTTCGACTTTTTCGAACTTTTCGTAGAAATCGACGAACCTTGTATTGAGGTTCGACTCGTGTGCGCATGCGCGACAGGCTGGCCAGCTGGCTTCGGATTGGATGGTAATGGCTAAGGGATGAATTAAAGGGATACTGAACCAAGAAATTTGGTGTCCATAATAAGTGGCGCACGTTCTTTCCACGAGCCAGCAGCCGCCGGTGTGCGCGAGCACACGCAACAAAAATGACGTCACAGACCTCCATTCGTGGTTGAGATGACAGTGAAATCTATGGGCTTCGGACCAATGGAGAATAAGGACAAGTTTTTCATCTACACAGTGGTGCCTGGTGTAAAAAGTAAGCGATGAATTGGTCTAACAAGCACGTAGCTTTCACTTGTAGAGATGAAAAGCCTGTCTTTATTCTCCTTTAGTCCGAAGCCCTTGCATTTCACTGTCATCTCAACCGCGAATGGAGGTCTGTGACGTCATTTTTGTTGCGTGTGCTCGCGCACACCGGCGGCTGCTGGCTGGTGGAAAGAACGTGCGCCACTTATTATGGGCACTGAATTCTTTGGTTCAGTATCCCTTTAAGGGCACCGCAGATTGGTTATTTCAGTTAATACAGTACAAAAAATTAAATTATTAACATCTTCAGTGATTAGAATTGGTTTCTTTTAACTGCAACTGTTCATAAAATAAAATAACCCTTTGCATAAAAATAAATTCTCCAAACCTAGACATGCGTGTATCAAGGTCTGGCCACACTGTCCGCAAAGTCGAACCGGTCGAATTTTAGTGGTGTCGCGAACTTTTGTCGAACCAGATTTTTAGGTCGAACTTTTGGGGTTCGACTGGGTCGAACCGGTTCGACGAACCTTCGAACTTTTCAACAGATTGGACCGGTTCGACTTTGTGGACAGTGTGGCCAGAGCTTGATACAAGCATGTTTAGGTTTGGAGGATATTTTTTTAAGAAAAGGGCTATTTTATTTTATGAACGGTTGCAATTAAAGGAAACTAATTCTAATCACTGAAGAGGTTAATAACTTAATTTTTTTGTACTGTATTAAGTGAAATAACCAATCAGCGCTGCCCTTAATTTAATCTTTAGCCACTACCATCCAATCCAAAGCTAACTGGCCAGCCTGTCGCGCATGCGCACACGAGTCGAACCTCAATGCAAGGTTCGTCGAATTTTCCACTAAAAGTTCGAAAAAGTCGATCTCGACCCTCGGCCGGTTCGCAACACCCCTATCGAATTTGGTGAAAATTTTCGAAGGTTCGTCGAACCCCGAAAGTTCGACCTAAAAAACCGGTTCGACAAGAGTTCGCGACACCCCTAATTTGCACACAGGCCCCACTCCGACGCCCGTCGGAGGAAGCACTTCCTATTGGCCTCGAGATCGACCTAGAGGTGGCGCTACGGTCGCGCTATCATCGTCATCATCAAAGCGGTGATAGGAGAACGGCCGCCCCATAGGAAGCGAGCAAGCCGGCCGTGTCGCGGCGGTCGCCTATTGTTCGCCGCGACCTGGCCACAGTGGAATCATAACCAGTGGTCCCACTCAAGGCCACTTCCGGTAATCGCGCATACACAGCGCTCCTCAAGCCGGATGGCGACAACTGAAGTTGTCAAACAAAAACAAACAAAAAAACAGGGTAAAAAAGAATCGCAATTGACTAAATTGAGTGCGTTAGTGTTATTATTTTTAGAAAACATAATAAGTTAGGTAATAATAATAAACCAACATGGAAAGAAAAAATCGAGCAGTTACCGTTAGCTTCAAAAAGTTCATTGCCCTAACCGAAGCCATGTCGCCGGTCGCGTTGTCGGCGTTGTCGGTGTTGCTGTTCTGCGAATTTCTCTTTCCTAGTACATTTCCCTTTCGGTTGGATCCTCGCTTGGCGTTTTAATGTCACGTGAGTTACCGAATCGTGCTATGAATGTGTTCTAAATGGGCCTGCTCAGGCAAGAAGCCAAAAAGCCGGGGACTCACTTCGCCGTTCGAGATTCCGGGATTCAGCTTCAAGTTCGTTGCTGGTGAGTGCAAACATTTTAAAGTGCTCGTGCTGTCTTTCGCGTCAGGCCATGGCACGATCGTCTTTTCTCCAACGCAGTGTATGTGACTCGGTTAATTTCTTAGTCGTATGTACGTCGGACGTGACTTGTAAAACGGTCGAACGTAATGAATTGCTTGTTCACGCGCAACCTCCACGTATCGAAACTTTCACACCATTTTACTGGAAAAATATAAATATAGTAGCAAATGACGCGGATCAGGACCGAACCTTGGATTTGCTAATCTCTAAAATCATAAAAGTGAAGTTGGCATCATAGCATAAGATGTAAAAAACAAAACAAAAAAAAAAACAGGCAACATTATAAAAAGTGAATTTACCACTTGTTATATATTTGCATTTGGCTAAGCAAGTTGACAGGGTACATTGAACATGATTCTGAATTAACTAGTCAGATGGATGTCCCTTGAAGGGAATTAACGGGAAGGCAACTCTAAGAAGTGTTGCTCAAACATGCCAATTTCCTGAACTCACACCTGTCTGCTCTCTCTCGTCAGGATACCCTGTGGGTATGGCAGCATCTGGCACCTGTCGTCCAGCATGCGTCGAGACCCCTCCTCCCCCCGTCAAGCTCCAGACATTATTTATCTCCGCTTGGCACGCCATGCAGTAAGACCCACAGTACTTATCTAATTTAGAAGTATAAGCAGGGACAGATCCAAGGGGGAGATCCAAAAGGAAGCGACGGCCCCCCCCCCCCCCCCCCCTTCCCCCACAAACAAAGTCGACCCCCCCCTCCCCCCATCTCGGAGGGCAATTTGACATGGCTGGACCCCCCGGTGCACACAAAAGAAGGGGAGAATAGCATCCTTACAAACTTTCTGCCCCCCCCCCCCTCCCCAAACGGAGTTCTGGATCTGCCCCTGAGTATAAGGTGTGTCTCGCTTTGTCCATTCACTGTATACTGTTACTTTCTTGTTCCAGTACGATGGTTCCTCGGAGAATCGCAGAGAATACCACGAGGGCAACAAACGTGTGGAGGCAAGCTGCAAGGGCCGGACACCAGAGACAAGGACCATCAGTAACCAGGGGGATGAAGTGAGGAAACTCAAGAGGCAGCTCATCATCTGGGCCACGAGAAGAAAATCGGAGGCCGTACGCTGGGAAATTTGTCGACCCTCATCCTTGGGTAGCATGAGCATTTTCTGGTCATATTCGTACGTGAGGTGAACTGTTACTGGAACTAGGTTGACTCATCCTTCTGCAGCTTACAGGGCATTACCAAAGCTACGGCACCAACGAGACAATTGGAACATTTGGCTGAGGGACGGGACAACATATTGTGGGGATATACACCTCCTACGGAGAGCTCTCACAAAACTTGCTTCGTTGCTCTGATTAGCTCCAAAGGGCGGCAGTGCTTTTCTTTGTAAAATTAGGCTGAAACAGATTATAGCTGTAATAGGGCCACCGAAATTGACATTGCGGCATAACATTCCTCATGAGGAATGTTATGAATGTCGCAGCCACAAGTGGTCACTTGACAATAATCTGCAACTTGTCATATAACAAACTGTGTAAATGGTTGGGTAAGTGCAGTAAAGATAGTTCTGCATATCTGGGAAAAAACAGTGGCTAGGAGGGCTCTAGCTCTTACTAAAGTGGCGAAGCGGGCGAGTTGGTTCATGATATAAAATTTAAAAGCGCTAAATGTTCAGTTGGGAGCAAGCGCTCGTCCTGTTCGCCTTCCTTTTTGTCCTCGTCTTTGTTAGCGCTTTTAAATTTTATCTCTAGCTCTTCCTCATCACGATCTGTCTTAGGGATCAGCACGACAACCAGAGCTGGTTGTCGTGCCAGTAGACCTCGTTCTGAAGTCACCGGAAGAAAACAATAACCGGTTGCTCCCATCATGTTGTGTTAGCCAGTGGTCAAGAACAAGATTTTTTCTCTTGAGCTTGGGCAAAGTGTTCTTCAATTAGTTTTCTCAAAGCCCCTTTGACACGCAATGGCACACATGACCTAGCTCAGTCGACACCCTACCTGTTAGTAGTGTTTCCAGTTTGTGCTAAATCACGAAAAGAGCCCTTGAAGAATAAGGTAGTGTGAAAAAGTAAATTTTTAATTCCTCATGCCGGAGATTCCCATCTGTTGGAGTTTGGATAGAAACAAGCTGTGGTCTGCGCTGTTAAAAGCCTTTCTGAAGTCTAACTGGACAATCTCGCACGGAGTTCGGTTGTCGAGGCTGGTGCTGAGTGCATAAGTGAAAGCTGCAAGGGCCGATTCGCAGCTCCTGCCGGGCGGAAACCATATTGGCGGGGGCTCCATTGTTTGGTTTAGCCATCGCAAGCCTTCGGACGGAGAACGTCGTAGCAGTTGTCTGTGTCGCGAACTCAAGCCGAGTTTAGATAAAGTTATATGTGCCGGAACT